AAATAAAAAAATAAATTATTTCCTATTGCACTAGGTAAATATAAGCACATACAAATGTAAATTATCTTTATAACCTCTTTATACTTAAGATATACTAAATTTAGTAAAGACTTACCTGAAGATCAGATTCAATAAGAAAAATGCCCAATGCAATTACTGCATCTCTCCGTCTTTCATCTAGTTGGAAGATCCCATGGAAATCTACTGGACACATGCAAAGCAGCTTTTGGACCTAGAAAATTAAAATTTTTTTTAAATAGCTTCAAAAATATAATGCCACATTCAGAATAAGTGACTCTTATAGATGTTCTTATAGATGTTCATACCCAAATAAATCATTATTTTATTTCAATTAACAAATCATGGGAGCCAAGTACTGGTGACTCATGCCTGTAATCCTAGCTACTCAGAAGGTTGAGATCTGAGAATTGCAGTTCAAAGAGCCCCAGCAGGAAAGTTCACTGAGACTTGAATTTCTAATTAGCTACCAAAAGTGGAGTTGTGGCTCAAGTGGTACAGCACCAGCCTAAAGTAAAAAAGTTAAGAGGCAGCAGCCAGGCCCTGAGTTCAAACCCCAATACCATCACATACACACAAAAATCTGGAAGTGGAAGTTGGCTAAGCTGGAATGTAAAACGCTAAGCAAAAGGAGAAGGCCCTCAGTTCAAGTCCTAATACCCATACAAAACAAATAAAACCAGTCAGTCAGTCGTAGGTATGCAAGCCTGTAATCCCAATAATCTGGAAAGCAGAAAGAAGATCTGGGAAGATCTGGAGTTTGAGGCCAGCCCAGGCAAAAAAGTTCACTAGATTCCATCTCAACCAATAGTATATACCTGTTAACCCTGGCAACATGAGCAAGCACAAATAGGAGGACGGAAGATCAAGCAAGGCATAAAGCAAACAACCTTGGCTTAAGTGGTAGAATGCCTGCCTACCAACCTCAAGACTCTGAGTTCAATACCTAAAACTGCCAAAACAAAACAAAAAGCCAGGCAAGGTATGGTGGCTTTTAATATCAGACAAGTAGGAGATGGCACAGGAGAATTAAAAAAAGCTACCCCAGGCTAAAGAAGCAATAAAATTATCTTAAAAATATAAAAATAAATTTTAAAAGAAAGTCTAGAGGCTGGGCACTGGCCTGTAATCCTAGCTACTCTGGAGGCTTTGATCTGAGGATCTGGGTTCAAAGCCAGCCCAGGCAGCAAAGGCCATGAAACTCTTATCTCCAATAAACCACTCAGAAGTAGCCCAGTGGCTCAAGTGGTAGCACTAGCCTTGAGCTGAAGAGCTCGGGGCAGCCCAGGCCGAGTTCAAGCCCCACAATCAACAAAGGTCTAGAGGCATGGATCAGGTGGTAGAGCATTTGCATAGCAAGTCCAAGACCCTGGGTTCAATCTGCGGTACTGAGAAGAAAAAAAAATTGTTTTAAATCATTAAGAGCTGGGCATGGTAAGGCACACTTGGAATCTCAACACTTGGGAGGCACAGACAGAAGGAACTCAAGGTCAACCTAGACGACAAAGCAAGATTCTATCTCAAAAAATATCATAAAAAGGATATTCCCATTTGCTAAAACAATCATATACATGCCCCCAAAATATACACACTCTGAAGAGCATGGGCTGAGGGTTAAAATGATGTACATAGAGAAGAGGTAGGGGTCAATGTCTAACGGCTATGCTTTGATATAAGGGCAGTATATGGAATGTTAAATGGGAGCCCTCACTCCCATACCCATATCTATCTACAGTAAAATGTTTTCCCCAAAAGGCTCTTTTAAATACCAAATGGAGTATGGCTCAAGTAGAGCCTTTTAATTGCACCACATGTGGTAAGGACTTCCCAGCAATGTCTTTTGTTAATAGATATGCTGAAGCAGGTAATAAATTGGCAACTTATTGAACAATATTGAAATTTTTGTATTTTTTTTGGGGGGGGAGGATCCGGTCATGGGGCCTGAACTCTGGCCCTGGGCACTGTCCCTCAGCTCTTCAGCTCAAGGCTAGCACTCTACCACTTGAGCCACAGTGCCACTTCTGGCTTTTTTATTTTTTCAGCTTATGTGGTGCTGAGGAATCGAACCCAGGACCTCATGCATGCAAGGCAAGCACTCTACCACTGAGCCACCTTCCCAGCCCTATATTATCTTTTTTATAAAAAGCAACAGCAAATTTCTAAAAGAAACTGAAAACATGGACTTATTTAAAAAGATGCAGCATAGGTTATACCGATCTTAAAATATATCTAGGCCAGAAAGAACTGGGCAAAGCAGTGAAAGAAACCTTCCAAGGCCTTGATCTTATGTCTGTAGCAGATTCAACAAAAAGTTATTCCCTGATACTCATATGCTCAAGGTATCATGTTTTAACAGTATGTTGTACATTGCATGAATTTGCCCTGAAATTGCATTAATAAATTGCCAATGCCAATTTTTTTTAGTCGGTCATGGGGCTTGAACTCTAGGCTTAGGTGCTATCCCTGTGCTCTTCAGCTCAAGGCAAGCACTCTACCACTTGAGCCACAGCACCACTTCCAGTTTTTCTGGTGGTTAATTGGAGATAAGAGTCTCACAGACTTTTCTGCCTGGGCTGGCTTTGAACAGTGATCCTTAGATCTCAGCCTCCTCAGTAGGTAGGATTACAAGGGTGAGCCACCAGCGCTCAGTCGATGCTATTTTTAAAAGAGAACAATTTGCAACATAATAATAGTATTAAACAAATAAATTAAAAATAAATAAAAAAGAAAGCAAATTGCACTGGATGTGATATGTGCCTATCACATCAGCTACACAGGAAGGGTAAATTGCAGAATCATAGCCATGGAATGATCAGGCAAAAATATAAGACACTATTTTCAAAATTAAGCAAGGCAGGCTGAAGATGTGTGGCTCAAATGGTAGTGTGCTTACCTGTTATGAATTTAAACCCCACTACTAATTTTTTCACTCAAATTAAGAAGAAAGCAAATTTCCTTTGTTAGTTTAAATCCCCCCCCTTTTTATTTTTTTTGGTGCCAGTGCTTGGGTATGCACTCAGGGTGCACTCTATCACTTCAGCCACATCTCCATTTGCAGCTTTTTGCTGGTTTATTAGCGATAAGGTCTCTCATATTTTTCTGCCTACACTGCCTTCTAACTATAAACCTCACATCTCAGTCTCCTGAGTAGCTAGGATTACAGGAATGAGTTACCAGTACCTGGCTGTTGGCTTGCATTTTAAAAAGACAAACACAAAAGGGATAACATATTTCATTTAAAATAAAAGCAACTAGCCGGGCGCTGGTGGCTCACGCCTGTAATCCTAGCTACTCAGGAGGCTGAGATCTGAGGATCACGGTTCAAAGCCAGCCCGGGCAGGAGAGACTATGAGACTCCTATCTCCAATAAACCAACAGAAAACCGGAAGTGGCGCTGTAGCTCAAGTGGTAGAGCACTCGCCTTGAGCTGAAGAGCTGAAGGACAGCGCCCAGGCCCAGAGTTCAAGCCCCACGACCGACAAAAAAAATAAAATAAAATAAAAGCAACTTTAAAGAAGAAAAACAATATCCTTTGTCCTAACAAATTTCCTTCTAGGAATGACTATAAGCAAATAATTAGAAACTCAGGCAAAGAATGAGTGGAAATACATTTACTGCTGTGCTGCATATATAAATTTAACAATTGGAATTATTCTGTCAACATTAAGAGAAAAAGCAGAATCACAACAGAATGATTCAATGAGATTCATAATATATTGATCAGTCAACATCAATCTAAAAGGAAGAATTTTAAGCCCTACTAAAGTGTATCCTTTGCCCTGTCCTGGTCAATACGTTGCCAATATCCTGCTCCCACTCAGAACACACTATGCCACATATCTAGAAGGTGAAGATAATGTGCTGAGACAGCATGGAAACTCAAAGATGTCAAAACTGACACAACTGGGTCATTAAATATGGACAAGGTATAATTGTACAAAAAAGATAACTCAGCCAGGTGCCAGTGGTTCTTGCCTGTAATCCTAGCTACTCAGGAGGCTGAGATCTGAGGATCATGGTTCTAAGCCAGTCCAGGCAGGAAAGTCTATGAGACTCTTATCTCCAATAAATTACCAGAAAACCAGAAGTGGTGCTGTAGCTCAAGTGGTAGAGCGCTAACCTTGAGCTAAAGAGCTGAGGGACGGTGCTCAGGCCTAGTGTTCAAGCCCCATGACAAACAAACAAACAAAGATAACTCATTAATGTTCCCATAAGCTAAACATATAAACATATACACTTGTATTTATTTACTTTTGGGGGGGGGCCTGTCATGGGGCTTGAACTCTGGGCCTGAGCGCTGTCCTTCAGCTCTTCAGCTCAAGGCCAGTCCTCTACCACTTGAGCTATAGCACCACTACCCATTTTCTGTTGGTTTATTGGAAATAAGAGTTTTATGGACTTTCCTGCCCAGGCTGGCTTTGAATGGGATCCTCAGATCTCAGCCTCCTAAGTAGTTAGGACTACAGGTGTGAGCCACTGGTGCTGGCTATTTACTTACTTTTGTTGTTGGGGTTTTTGTTTGTTTGTTTTTGTTGGTCATGGAGCTTGAACTCTAGGCCTGGGCACGGTCCCTGAGCTCTTCAGCTCAAGGCTAGTGCTCTACCACTTGAGCCATAGCACCCACTTCCAGCTTTTTCTGTGTATGTGGTGCTGAGGAATCGAGCCCTGGGCCTCATGAATGCAAGGCAAGCACTGAGCCACCTTTCCAGTCCCTATTTACTTATTTTTGAAATGAGGTCTCTTTTGTCCAGGCTTGTTTCTATCTCCTAGGGTCCAGGGATTCTTCCACTTCAACCTTGCAAATAGCTAGCAGTACAGATATATGCCACTGTGCCTGGACATATTAGAAAGGTAAATATCTTTGCTCTCAGTGCTTTTCTCTGTTTCTAGAGATTTCTTTAGGGGCAGGATAAGAACCAAGCTTTGGTTTTTCTGACATATATAAACAAATCTAATATTGGGAACTTTGAACTGAGTGAAATGCAAATGGACTCTGGAGTTAGATATGGCATCCTATCATATCTCTGGCACAGACCAGTTGAATAACTAGCTAAGCCTCAGCTTCTCTGCCTACCAGCAGGTATCGGGTCAGAGGAAGTAATGTGACTGGCACAAAGGCACAAATACCAACTAGAGTTGGTATTACATCACATTTTTCATGCTAACTGTCCTTTGATAATGCCCTTCACATAATTTATATGAGTGTCAAACAAG